AAGATTAATCGTGATTAATCGTGATTAATTCACAGCTACCTTGGAATTAATAGATTAAAATTTTAATCATTTGACAGCGTTGCTCATTTAAAGAGCTGCTTTGAGTGCTTTTTTATTTTTATTTTTTGTGGGGGAAAGTGGGGCCTTTTTTAGCAGACCAGATGAAAATCACCCTTCGGCCAGATGTGGCCTACAGGACACCAGTTACCCATCCCTGATTTAGTGGTTATATGTGTGCAGTTTTATCTGTCTGGAGAGCAAAGTATAGGAGAGAATGACAGATTCGAGAGACTCCAYTTCAGGTTTTGAAGTGAAAATTCAGAGCTCAGATATAACAGGAGTCAGACTTTGGGTGGGTGCTCTCTGCACTCCAGGGGGTTTTGAGAAAAAAAAAACATAAGTCCTACAGAAGTGACACTCAAAAATAGTKACTTTATGTTATCTAAGTTGAACATTCTGCTGTAAAGTCCCTAAAAATCCTAAAAGTTCAAGTGCAGTTGTATAAAAACCATTAGATAGCAAATTGTCTCACTCATTTTGCAAAAATGTGCTACAAAAAGTCAAAGCAAACTGTTTTTATTGAGCTGTATGTTGTAATGTTTGAGGATTTTTTTTCAGTGGTTTTTCCAAATCTGCAGAAGGAGTAGTGATTTGGAAATCATGAAGAAGACTGAAGGATAATTGCTGAAAAATAACCAGGGTTCTTCAGTGCTTGTGTGTTGGCACACTTTAAAGAAAAAAAAAACAAGGAAGAAAAAACACACACACAGAGAGAGAGGGGAAAGCAGAAATACATTTAGTCTTTTCTGAAAAGGTCCTACACAGCGAATTACAGCATCTCAAAGCTGACATTTAAAAGTGCATTTAAAACCAAAGGCTTTATGCACAGGAGGGGTGCGTCACAAAACCCTGTGTAATGACATCGTGAGCGAATCAGTTTGATGAGAGACAGAGACTGTGTCAGGCCTGCTCTGCTCTGTCGTTACGGCGCGATGAGAAGTGGTGCCATTTATCACGCCAGTGTTTTGTAATGTGGAAAATCGAATTCTGGCGTATTCGCTGTACACTGGTACTGTATGTGGCACAGTTCACTCCCCTGTTGTCCCGAGCACCCCCTCCTCGAGCGAACCCCCCGCTGATGAATATGAATGGACCATCTCCCTCATTGCCGACCCGTCCCACGTTCCAGCCCCCCCGCCCGAAAGCACATCACTCAGCACTGTCACACAGTGTTACCTACGACAACCAGGAAGGAGATTATGGAGATCAAATCAATTATGGCTTAATACAGAATGCGATGGATCTCACTACACTAAATCCAGCACTGCCAAAGCTGTGAYGACGATTGATTACCTTAATATTGCTTGTATACGCTGCAGTCTCCCACACCCACCTTGGCTGCGTCTGTCTCTGGAGAGAGGAAGTGGATTGTCCTCCAGTACTTTATAGATATTGCCTTTCATTTCTGATGACCAGCACAGTATTTCACAAAGAAATGCCCCTCTGTGCTGTTATTTCTCAATTTATGGTTCCTTATAG